AAAAAAAAGCAAATAATGCTGAATAAAACTGGCAAGAGATATTTATAGCATAAAATCTTAACTGTCACCAACAAGCGGTACCATTGCCGAAGGTTGGAATCCTGATCAAAGTGGAGTAATAGGAAAGAACGTCGACCCGGCCTAATGGACACTTCCGGCACGACGAGCTGCAGCGATCGGTGTTGGCAAAATTCCAGTACAGAAGCATGCTTCCAGGTTCGGCCGCAGGGCACTGACAGAGTTCTGTGAACTCAGCAGTCAAGTGTAAGTTGATGCTCCTTCTAGGTTAATTTGAAGATCGGAAGGTTGTCAAACACCGTTAGTTTGTTGTTCAACCTCTATGCCGTAAAGAAGGAATTAGTCGAGCTGTTGTTGTAGTTTGTGTTTAAATTTACCAGATTGACATGAAAGTGACAGACTAAGAATTTTATCAAAAAAAAAAAAGAAAAGTTTATTCATTGATTGCCAGAATAAGCCGATTGATAAAGCTAGAAGTAAAAGGAAAGATGAAAGCAATTTTTTATGACTAATTTAAAAGTCTTCGAGTCATCAGCTTCACAAATGCAGTTTAGTTATTCCTACTGACAGGAGTGAAGGAGATAAATAAAGGTGTTTGTAAGTTACCTCTAATAAATGTAACCTACCAAAGACTCGAGATTTCTGTAAATACATCTAATACATATGTACATCTAAAAATAGTAGTGTAACAATCTAATTTTAAGCATATATATGCGTTACTTCTTTTATTTTTATGCTTCTAACTAGTTTTGAATTATAGTTTTAGACCGTGTACGGTTATTTAACATTGCACTTCCCTCATTCTGATGAAGTTGTTCAGTGAGTTTTTACGTTTACCTGGAAGTACATATGCGTGCATTCAATTCCAGATAAAGAATACTTTTTAATCTTCCGCTACAGACTGGAACTGTGGTTCAGTCTGTCGTAGTTTACACAAACACTATAGAGGATCACTGGGGCCAAATTGAAATGCAGTATAAAGTTGTGGGTAGGACAAGGGGAAGGTCTTTTGAAGTTGGTTAGGTTATACAGCAGGCAAACAGCTAGAAGATAACAACTGAGAAAGTATGTTTAGCCTGACTATCAAATAGTTAAGTGCTAGCAAAAAACCATGGATAGTCAGTTTGTGTGAGGGTGGGTGTAGACCTTCAAGGCTTTTGAACTCAAGGTTATGAAAAAAAGGCTTTTATTTATTATACCACATATCATGAGAATAGCATCTGTTTGTGGCTTAATCTTGTGACTTAATTTTGAGTTCTTAGAAGGTAAGGGAGAAGTCTAGAGTGACGTTTAAAATTATGTTAGGTAAATAAAAAAGGGTGAAGAAATTT